TGCTTCATCAAATAATGACACAGATTATTCCACGGTGGGTCAGTCAGATTTTGTGCAACACAGGTCTGAGTCCATAGGCATGTACCAACTCTTTGTGACCACATAGGAATATAAAGAACTACATAGAGTGGTACATTGTCACAGACAGAAATCCATTTATATGTCCTGAAGTCTGAGCATCTTCTGATGGACTGGTTAGGACATCATAAAAAATCATTCTGTGACTAATGGGGAAAATATAACAAAAAATAATAAGCTGTTACAGTGGAAGTCTTGATGGCTGTGACGGAAAAGGGTAATTAAAGGGTCAGTCCACTGAAAACACATTTCAGTTTTAATAAATATCTGCAGTCTTAATTATCATAGGGCTTCATTAAAGCCCTAATGAACTTTCAGTCTAAATCAACTAGATACATTCCGGGTGAATCCAATTAAAGGATGTTCATTCCCTTTATAAAGTAGGAAAAAAAAACCTGTCCCCTACCAGCATGGTGAAGAGAATGACCCTTGTTCTCTGTTCAGAAGCAGTGATCTCTCTGCAGAGGTCTGATATGCCCAACATGGAGCCAGACCCTTAGCTCTGCAATCATCAATGCTCATACTCCCTGCTAATTGGAGAGCTCTGATGTTGTTTTGTCTGACCTCTACTGAGACCGCTGCTTCCACCCAGAAAGCAAGGGTTATTCTCTGCAGCTTGCCGACAAGGAATATCTTTTTCTATTCAGGCAGTGGGTGCTTTCTGAAGAAAACCAACCAGAAGGCTTTGCACTTGTTTTGTTTTAATGCACCGGGAATGTATTTTGCCGTTTCAATCTGAAAGTCCAGTTGGGCTTTATCGAATGACCTAAGGGTCTAACTCTTAGGCAAAATTGAAAATTGTCTGGGGCTGTCCTGCCTTTTTGGTGTCTCAAAGGTAAGAGTTCTAATAGGACCTGTTGCCATTGAACTAAAAAAATGTAAGGTGCTGTAAAATACAAGGTAGAGAAGCACAGCAAAATGTGACGTTGAGTGCGGAGAATAAGCAGAACAAAATTGCGCAACAATTTTGGTGAGAATTTAATGCAAGGCAGGTAGACATTTTTAGGAAGAAAAGAAACCGCTACACATTCTTGTAGTGCTCATTCTTCTCAGCAAATCAAGGGGCCTAATTCATTGAACTGTAACTGTGTACAATCATCCAACCCTCTACACTGGGGAGCTGGGGAAAAAACACCAGAGAATGTTGACTGAATATATGAGTCACTAACTCCAAAATTATTTTCTTGTTTGTTCTTAAAACTGCAAGTCTACCCAAAAAAATGCTACTGGGCGTCCTGTGACCCAAACAGGAAAATCTACTCTAGGAAACTGGCTCCACCTCCCTGAGCTACTGGCTCTAGTCACTTCCTGTGCTGCACCCTGTGATAATAAATGAATCATCCAGCCTTAGCCACAAGGGCCACATTGTTCGGCAAGGCTATGGTGGAGAGCCAAGTCTGGATCTCCTGGTAATGTGTGGCTCTAGGAACCTGTCTCTCTCTTACTGCGCCACTCACTGTGATCACTTCCTGTACTGCACCCTATTAAAATAAACGAATAATGGAGCCTTAGCCAAAAGGGCCACATTGTGGCTAAGTCTGGATCTCCCGGAAGGGTTGCACACCAGTCTGCTCTAGGAACCTGGCTCTATCTTACTGTGCCACTTTCTGTACTGCACCGTTAGAATGAATGAATAACGGAGCCTTAGGCCTTGTTCACACCAAGCGCGGAGCAGATCCGGACCAGAGCAGGTGCAGACCGGATCAAAACTGCATCTAATGTATTCCTATGGTATTTTGACCTCCAGTTCACATCGCAGCGTGCGGATCCAGACCGGATGAAAAAACTGCGGCAAGCCCTATTTTACCTGCACTGGATCTGGTCTGGGACGCATCAAAAACGCATCTAAAACGCAAAAACGTATAAAAAAACGCATGCAAGTGCCTGAAAGCCCATGTTAAACTTACATTTTTTTTTTTTTACCAAAAACGGCCCTAAACGCATCAAAAACGCGTCTAAAATGCGGCACAACCCACTGCACTGCGTGTGCAGAAACCTGACCGGATCTGGTCTGCATTTGGTGTGAACAAGGCCTTAGCCACAAAAGCCACATTGTTCGGCAAGGCTACGGCAGAGAGCCAAGTCTCCTGGAAATGTAACACACCAGTCTGCTCTTGGAACTTAGATCAACGTCAATGTGCCACTCACTATGGTCACCTCATGTACTGCACGCTGTTAGAATAAATGAGTAATGGAGCCTTATCCACAAGGGCCACATTGTCCAGCAAGGCTATGGTGAAGATCAGGATACCCTGATAATGTAACAAACCTAAGCTAAAGTATGGCAACCCCTCTTGAAAGTTCCCCTTTATATGTATTAAAAATATTTAAAAGACATTTTTAAAAAAGCGATGCGTAATAAGTAATAGCAACCAAAGGCACCATTCACTTAACTAGTTCTAGTCAGGCAAAAGGTTATGAGTTGCCATTGGCTACTGTACTTTGTGCATCGCCCTTGCGCATCGTACAGTTTTATTAAATGACCCTGGATATGTTTATCTGATTGAAAGGGGTTTTATTTCTCCTTCTGCAGTAAATTAACAGCAAATACTACTTTGAAAACGATCCGTGACTCAGGAGTATAAACTAATTTACTTTATTGTGTTTGCTCCCCCAATTCTTATGAATAACTCTAGATCAAGCAATATTAAGCAACTAACCTGGAGTGCCAACTCCCTGGGGGCTCTCCAGGGTCCTCTGCCTGGCATTTTAATGTAGTCATAGTTACAGGACATCTGAAATGACTGCATAATATACACAGCGTGAACACATACGGCAAGGAAGGCCTTGATGGGCATGTCATACATTATTCAAAAAAGTTATATTAGTCTTAATTGTATGCTGCCATAGGGATTTGGCACTGAGGAATTAAAGGCAAACCTGTCTTAGGAAGGTGCGGCTCTCATTTGAACCCAGAAATAAAAGAATTTTACAAATAAAAGGCACCCGTCAATGAGACTTTCACAAGTGCAGATTAAGAAACAAGGCCTCGAATACTGGACTATTTTCAGCACCATTACATTTCGCCAGCAAATTACTGCGCTGCATACAGCAAAGCAAAAGTCTACTGGTGTAAGATGTCCTTAGCCTCTTGTTACGGAAGTCATCAGGCACTGCATGAAAGTTTGGAATTCTTTAGGTGCAAACTGCAATTCAAACATACGGTAGCTCATAAACTAGCTTATTAGTGTTGTCTCTTAGTGTAGAGTCGTTAATCCTGCAGTGTGTTCCAGAGTCTAGCTGAATCACAAAGATGTGCAATGGAAAAAAAACTGGGGTTCTAGAACAGGGAAGGGGTCACAAGCAATAAACTGAGCCTAAAAAAGATGGCACACAGACAGCAACATGCTTGACTATGCATGCGACTGAAGTACTACAGTACAAGGGTTTACTCAGCCATACACAGAATTTATTCCCATTCAGCTAATCTGTCTCTGAAAACAGGTTCAAGCAGCCTCTAATACAGTCTCAGTGATGAACTTCTTCTGTTTTTTAGATGGTTTGCAAAAAAAAAATCAGCTGATCAGAAAGTGAGTTTTGACAGCTGCACAGAATATTTTGCAAGTAATGGATGATGTACCTGTTTACAGAGACACCATAACCCCAACGGAGTTCTCCAGGATTTTGTAAATGCACCGAAAACTTTGGATCCTTCTATGTAATAACAGAGAAAGGTCCACCTTCTGTAATCTTGTGGAGCACAACAGTCGTACCCTTATGTCAATAGTGTTCAAACTTATTCAGCATATTTAAATTAAACCTGCCCATTAAAACCCATCCCCTCATCCTGTGCAATACTTCCCTCTACTGCTGTTCATTAAAATGGTACTTCAGTTCCACACTTCCTGCCACCCAACAATGCAGAACTTGGGACCTAAATTGCCAATTGACAGGCCCCAGCTCTGTCTCATGGGGCTGCGTGTACCATATGGTGCGCATTTACCCCCTATCCCAGGAATTCTAGCAACTGCTGGCGGCAGCAGCAGGGATCAGAGCAGTGGTAGAGGCAAGTAAGCGGGCCATAAGGTGCCTAGTACATAGTGTGGGGAAGGGTTTAGGTTACTTACGACAGATTTATTTTAAAGGGAGTCGTCACAAAGCAAAGTACAATAAATAAGAAGCCTCAGATGCAAGCAGCCATTATGTAACTCCTGGATTACATACTAATTCCAGGGAAGTGGTGTTGCAGAATAATTTCAGCAGTCCTAGAGTTAGTATATTGCCTGGGAGAAGAATAGCACAATGTCCGACCAAAACCAGCACCAGGGGTCAGCACATCCCAGACAGCTGTGAACAAGACCCAGATAGATCAATATTCTTTGTGCTGAGTTCACTATAGTGCTAATAAAGTAGATTTTACTTGACATCCAGAGTGAGCGGATCATTTTTATCATATGGGTGAGCATATTACTGAGCACATGAATGAACTGTGTACCATCTACAGCTGTCCTTACTTTTAATAGGATGACCAAGACTTTGTAATGGATGATGGCCCACTGTGCAACACTTCTGGCCTCCCTAAGATAGAGGTCGTGTATACCAATAAGGAGACTGTCAATAGGACTGTGTGATTGTTGCAGCCTCATACAGCATATTTAAACGAAAGGTGAAAGGGAGGCCATAAATGCACTAAACATTGGATGCAGATAATTTATACATGTATGGGCACCTTATGGCTTTGTACTGTGTTTTGCATGTCACAGGTTCCCTTTAACACAATCCTTATTAGACTGAACCCAACAGGAGCTTTATTGCATCTAAGTGTGAAGCAGCAATACAAGTATTGTCCAGCAGGGGGAGCTGCTGGAGGAGAAAAAAAAGCAGATTTATGGCTTGTGGTCCCAGAAACTGCAGGGCTGTGCTGTTATATTGATAGGTTTAATCGGGAGGGGGTGGGATATATACACATATAAAAAAAGAAACAAAAAGCCCCATTTAGGTAAACTCTATCTGAAACTGGGAGGAGACACTCTTAAAGCAGAGGCATAGGTCACAGACTAGTATACAGAAATACATAGTATCACTCCTCAGCCAAGTTTAAAACACACACACAGATGACGTTACCTGTTCACTGCTAGAGACGCCCCTAGCCAAGCAAGGGTTTGAAGAGATGTTTGAATACTTCATAGGCAAAGAATGAAATAAAAACTATTTAAATATTCCTAGGAACTACACAGTTTTATTGTACGCCCGACGACGGCCGCCATGTTTCACGCCTCGGAGACCTCAGACTTGCTGAGCGCAATGGCGAGCTCCAGGTCCTCCTGCTCCTGCTGCTTTAGTCTCTGCATCCTCTCTTGTTCTTCCCGCTCGCTCTCCCTCTTCGCCCATTCGATCATATCGTCCTCAGACTGGTACTGCAGATTTCAAGAAAGACATGCACTGGCTGAGCAAGTCACACAAAACACAAAACAGAGAACTGAGGAAACACCCACCTAGCGTAGACAAGACACACATTGGTTCATGCGCGCTGTATGCAACCCGGCACACATATAATCTCTGTAATATTTCCCAAATTCGTCCCTTAACAAATGATACCGCAAATCTTCTAATTCACTCCCTTGTAGTATCTCTCCTTGACTACTGCAACTCCCTCCTTGTTGGCCTACCACTAAGCAGGCTATCCCTGCTGCCATCCACCTTACCAACCGATCAGTGTTGTCCGCCCCCCCCCCCAAACGGCTCCCAAATCCCCAACGTATAAAATTCAAAATACTAACAACCTACAAAGCCATCTACAACTCTGCCCCAACCTACACCACCCACCTCATCTCAAAATATCACCCAAACAGCCCCCTTCGCTCTTCCTAAGACCTCCTGCTCTCCAGGTCTAGTCACCTCCAGGACTTTTCTCCCATTCTCTGGAACTCCCTACCCCCATGAGTCCGCTAATCTCTTACTCTGTCCACCTTTAGGGGATCCTTGAAAACTCATCTCTTCGGGGAGGCTTATTCCACCTAAATATAACAGTACTTTCAATAATTTTATTAAATTATCTCACACAACTATTACCTTTTGTATCACTTGCCCTCTCATGAGCAGGGCCCTCCTACCTCCTGTACTGAAATTGTATTATTAATTGAAATGTTTCCCCCAATTTTGTAAAGCGCTGCACAAACTGTTGGCACTATATAAACCCTGTATAATAATAATATATACAAAATAAATGTGTCATACACAGAAGCTGTGTTTTCTTGCATTTGCTATCCTGCTCTAGTAAAAGAAGGCTTAAAGGGGAACTCCAGGCAAATAGAAAAGACAGATTAATGCGGCTCTGTACTCTTGAATACATTATTTAGGGCTCATTCACACCGGATCTGTTGTGTTGCAATCTGTTGCGTTGAAATACATTTTTCAATGGATACCAACGGAAGGGGCTCGTTCACACCAATCTATCCTGTTGTGTTACGTTCCGTTGCACTGAAAAAAGAAAAAAAAAGTAGAACATGCACTACTTTTTTTCAGAGCAATGCAATGCAATGGCTCCGGTGTGAACTAGCTCCATTCATTTTTCGGTGCCCTTCCATTAAGCATCCATTGAAAAGTGGATCACAACGCAATGGATTGAAAAGAAATCAGAAAGGTTTGTAGGCTGTGGTCATCCATTGCACTGGTTTGTGAATCATGCAGATGCTCAAGCTCTGTGTATTGCGATGTAGAAGCTGAATTCCAGGCAGATATCAAAGACACAAATGCAGATATGAATGCATCAGCACATCCATTTATGTAATTTTAATGCAGTTTCTGTAATTTGACTTGGCATTAGCCTCTTGTAATCCCTGTAGAACAGACCTTAGGCTTGGAGAGGGAGAAGCAGCACAAGGATCAGTAAGCTGGCACCTTCCGAGGCTGTAAAGGATAGGAGGATGTAGTTCCATTTTAAGCTTTTAACTATATAAAAACAGTTAAAGTGGAATCCCCACCTCCTATCCCAGGGTTAGGTGACCTCAGCACTCCAGCTGTGATAAAATTACAAATTCCATCATGCCTTTGCCTCTGGCAGTCATGCATATGGCTCTCAGTCTTGCAATGCCTCCGGGACTTTGAGTTCGACAACAGCTGGAATGCCAAGGTTGCCTACAAAATTTGGCCTAAAAAGTGTCCCAGGTCTCAACAGTGGTAAAGTACAGGCACCTTGTGGTGTCCACAAGAACTTATCATTGTGAACCAATGGGTCATAATATAGGCTGTACACTAGGACATTGACTTCTCTTCAAGTCAGGATTAAAGTACTGCCCCATGTCATTTAGCAGTCAAATGCAAGAACATCAACTATCCATTAATCCTCTTGCATTTGGATTAACAATAAGGGATCCTTAGCACCAGGAGGGGTGGAGCCTAATCTTGACTTGGGGAAAGGTAGAAGCCCTGGATGCATCATCTAAGGGCCTCCACAGGGACCATTTTGAAGACAATAACAGGTACTCCAACAATGGTGTAAAGCTTAGACACTTTTTTAGGCCAGTTTAAGTTCACTCTAACTGAAACCTGTCATGACAGACATAAGTAGGCTAACAGTGCTGACCTCATTCAGAAAATTATTTTGTCTGGCTTTCATGCAGACCCAAAACCCTGAGTCACTGACCCCAAGCACACATGCCCATTAGAAGTTCTGACTTGCTGATATGACAATCAAAATGTGCTGAGGATAAGAGGCTCACCATGGCAGTCAAGCAAGAAGCAATTTCAGACACGTTACATTGTTTTCTTAAGGCAGTAGGCCAGTACTTACAGCAATATAATGATCAACTAATCCTAAAGACATTCCAGGCATCAGAGAAAAATTGCACTTACAGTGGGGGCCTCCCCGCACTGCAAGGAATACATTATTATTAAGTCTAGGGCCAAGGAAAAAGCTGTAATACCTTTTTCCTGGCTCACTATGGCAGCCGACACTCTTCTCCGATGCTCTAAATTGTGGGTGGGCCCCATCGCTGCTCTGCAATGTATGTGATGATGCCAGAGTGCAACGTTGGAGATGGAACATCAAAGAGAAGCGGCTTTGGGAATCTGGTGCATGGTGTAGTAGAGGCCTGCTAGAGCTAGGAGCAAGGCAAGGATTACAGCTTATTCCTCTTCCCCTAGTCATAACTAACATTTAAACCTTACAGTGTGTGCAGGCCCCGCAGCAATGGTTATTTGTTTCTGATGCCTGGAGTGGGGCTTTGAATTCATGAATGTTAGCAAACACATGTTAACACACACAAACAATTAGGGATGCACCGATATATTGGCCGCCGAAACATGTTGGCCGAAAGTGCAATTTTCTGGCCGATATATAGCGGTGCATCCATCCTTTCGGTCCTCCCCGCTGGGCGCCTCTCTGTGTCCCAGCAGGGAGGAGAGAAACTGTCACAAGAGGCTGAGCGGTGCGGGAGGAGAGCGCTGTGAGCGTCCGGCGTCTCTCTTCCCCACACCGCTCAGCCACCTATCACAGATCGGGAGGGTGTGGGCGGAGACCGCCAGCGCTGTCACAGGAGGCTGAGCTTTGCTCACCGCTCGCTCAGCCTCCTGTGACAGCTGTCAGGATGGAGAGCGGTCGGTGATCAGTGATCGCTGAGTGTTTGTACATAATTGAGGACTATCTCCTCAATTATGAATGAATAGGAAGTGATCTACATCACCTCCTGTTCATTCATGATTGTGGTTATAGTAAACACACTCTGGACTCATGTTATGAATGAACAGGAACACTCGGTATAGCGGCTTCCTGTTCATTTATAACAGAGGCTGCAGAAAAAGAGATAATTTTCATTTCGCTGCACCTCTACAAACAATAATACCTTATTACCATTTGAAATGGATACATTTATATGGATACAAAATAAGATCCAGTCAGCACAGAAAATAGGAAAGAGAATATGAATAACAATATTAAAAGCAAACAGACGTATACAAATGGTGGGTAATGTACGGTGGAGGAAAAGAGTTTCTGTGCTAGAAATGAGCACAAGGATCAGTGATAATGTACTTCAGCAATTAGAATAATGCGATCTGTGTGAGTGTGATCCTCCAAGGATTTATGCAATTTGTTTCTTATGCACAGTAATATGACCCCCCGATAAATCTGCAATTGATATATTTCTGTTCTGTTTCGCCTTTAACACCCAATCAGATTCTGGTTTTCATTTTGCTTGCGCAGATTAAAGAATAAAAGCTTACATGTAAGTGGTTTTAGTTGGCTCCAATATGGTAGAACTATGACCTTGAAGTACAGGGAGAAAAATAGGATTTTTGTACTCACCGTAAAATCCTTTTCTCTGCGTTCATTGAAGGACACAGGAAACTGATTGAAGACCATGTACCACAGCGTCCTTCTCCTGCAGGCGGCAATGTTATTTGTGGTACATGATCTTCGATCCGTTTCCTGTGTCCTTTAATGAACGGAAGAGAAAATTGCCAACACTATGGAGATTACTTTGTCCATATATCTGGAATTTCTTCAAGCTTCTTCCAAAAGGATTTTTTTACTAAAACAGATTCTCATAAGAGAAATCCAAGATAACAAGCCGACTCATTTTAGAGACTGTAAATGACCTCCTTCATCAGGGCTCAAAATGCCATTTAAGATAAAATAGTGAACTCAGTAGGATTAGGGAAGTTTGGTGTATAATAACTCCTGATTAAGGGGTCATGTGGGTGGGTGTTGTTTTCCTGCATGGTCATCAAAATCCCATTGAGAAGAAAATATGTTTGACCTATTTTGCGTTTCTTTGGATGCAGCATCTCCCATTGTGGTACTTCTGAACTGCAGGCAAAGCAGGTCAAATGCTGCGTTTGCCATTCAAGTTTGCTTTTGAAAAGCATCGCAGCATTTATAAAGAATACCCAGTCCTAACGAGCAACCTTTAGAAGCTGGCTACTGTGGCAGTGAACAGACCCATTGTTTAGTCAACAAGCCCTGATGAATGGGGTGTTTTATAGTTCCGAAACGCATTGGCTTGCCATCTTGGATTACTATAGTAAAAAAAATATTTGCTCCAAAAACATCAGTGTGGTTGTCCTGTTTTCATACACCTCCACCTCCCACCTGTTTTTATGTCCGTCTTATGTTCTGTTTCTGAACCCATTAGAAAGATTTTCCCCTCACCTCCTGTGTTGTCACAGAAACAGGAAGTTAAATATGTGTATACTTTCTAGGGATGTTCAGATACCAGTTCAGATACCAGTGCCGATACTTGGAATTTTCATGACAACTACCAGGGTTGCAGCAGTTGCAGCTGGGATCTGGCTCTGGCACTCCACCACTGTCCTGAAATCATTAGTCTGTATTGTTTTAGAAAAACTGTCACATGACAATAAACAAAAATGTATCAGTACTTGAGTCTGTGAGTACTTGGGCAAGTATCAGTACTTGAAAAATGATATTGGGGCATCCCTAATATATATTTATAAAAAAAACAAAAACAAATCATACATTAAAACAGGGATGCACAAATCCCAGGAACTCCGTATTCTTCTTACAAATGGCAACTGCCTCCTAACTTCTGAACTTATCTCTAGTCTAGTCTTGGAGCTGGAAAACTATATTTACATGTACTTGTACCAAATAAGGTACTTGGTATCTGAACATCCAGAATACTTTCCCTTTATCTTTCTTTGTTTGTGGCTGTTGATCTGAAGATGTTTGAAGTGGCTGGTTTAATACACTGACAATGGTAGCTCATGACAGAAAATACAGATTAATAAACTCATTTAGATTTTTCTGTAGTCATGACTCGCAACTAAAATGTTATTTCTTTGCGAGTAGATCTGGTATGCCAACAAAAAAAAAAAACTATTAAAGTACGTCCAGCCCAAAATGTTTTTTTCTTAGTTTTGGATAAAGAAAAGAAGGATTAGAACCAATGACAAATAGCACCTCGTGCCAAACCCTGTGTAGCTGCAAGCACTTTAAGAAGTGTTACCCTCTAAATGTATGAAATTATAATAATGAATGTGCTGCACTTCAACTAGAACAATCAAAAAGATAAACAAATCTCTATAAATATGTGCTAAACAATACATGCAATCAATTGCTTTACTTGTATACACCGAGTGGCCAGTTTATTATGACCACCTGACGTTTGTAGGCAAATTAGCTATAATTTGGATTTCAGTGTATATCAATCCTTAATAATAAATATCCCTCAGGAAATATTTATTATTAATTATTTATTAAGGATTGATATATATACAAGTGAAGCAATTGTGAACACTTTGGTTGCTATTGTTTAGCACATATTACAGAGATTTGTTTATTGTTTTGATCTAGTTGAAGCGCAGCTCATTCATTATTATAATTGAAGGATCAGAACCGCTGTCAGGTTTTGCTGCTATCTGGGGCTCGATTAGAAAGATTTACCCGCTCCAAGAGCAGCAAGAACAGAGATTAAAAGGTTTGTGCTTAGTAAGTAGTTATCTGACCTCAGTCACGTTTTTAAATCTCAGCTGAAGAGTTTACATCAGTTCCTGTCTGGCAAAACCATTGTCAGCAGGAAAGGAAGTGATGCTAGATGGAATCTCTCTAAAGGTGCCCATACACCTTACAATTATCTGCAGTTTTTCTGTGGTCAGATGGAAAAAGTGCAACAGATTGGCCCAGGTGGAGAGTACTCCATCCACACAGTTAAGTGTAGATGGAGGAATCTGTTGCACCTTTTCTATCTGACCACAGAAAATCTGCAGATAATTGTTAGGTGTATGTCCAGCTTAACAGAGCCCAAGATATCAGTAACAGCCCGACAGGAGTTCTTTCTCCAGCTGTTCAAAATAGTTTTAGGGCTTTAGAAGCTGGCTTACAATTGGTTGCTAGTGACCAGCTGAGGAAGGCAAAGCTAAAGTAATGCTTGGGCCGTCTCCTTTCTGCAGCTTCTCGCTACCTAATCTCCTCACTGCATTTGTGTTCTTATCCATTTTTTTCTGGCACTGACCTAAAGGCAAGTGCTTTACAGAAAGCAATAATTTGTCACTTCTGGCACTAGATTAACCAATCAAGTGAGGAGCAATGCTTTCTTCTTATCACAAAGATACACATCAAGCCTTAGGGTAATGGCAGACAAGCTTCCAATACTACACTTCTTGCTGAGCAAAATCAACGTGTCTGCCCACTGCTGAGCTGTGTCATCACGGCACAGATTTGGCATTGCTTGTTCTTTGTTGTACATATGTGGGAAGAGACTGATCCCATCGAAATACAGAACAGCCTGTTTAGGCATAGATCACTCTATCCCACGCTTCTGTGACATGGTGGATGCAGCCCCAATCTACTGAGGCTCAGCAAGGGAGTAGGAAAGAAAATGACTGTCAAACATTCCTCTAACTCCTAAATTAGGTTCTTGAATACGGCTGAACTCCAGGCAGATATAAAAGACTCAGATTAATACATCCCTGTCATTATAAATACATAATTGTTTTTATAAAAGGCAGCCAATGTGAATTATCTGAATTTGATTTGATAACAGCCTCTTGCAGTCCCTGTGCAGCAGAGATCAGACTTGAGGAGGGAGTCAGCACAAGGTGCCATGCAGGTGTACTGCAGTGCAGACAAGAAGCATGCTGATAGATGATAGGAGGAGAGATCAGAACGACAGAGAGATGAGCTCATCAATCTGCAGCTTCTCCTTTAATTGTTTAGTCACAGGCTGGGCGAGGGACAAGACCCATAAATGTTTCTTAATTGCAGCAGAGAAAAATCAGATCTCTCTGCGGGGTGGAAGAGCTGCATAAATCTCAGGAATGGATGTACAAAAAATATAAATCCTTTGGCAAGTAAAACAGATGCTGCATATGTATTTCATCTGTGTATTTAGCAGTTTGCCTGGAATTCCCTTTCTTTGATCAAAGTTGATCGAAATCCCTGAACGTTTGCATGTGATTGCAGTAATGATTGGCACAGCGTGTTTAGAGCAAAGTCATTATTGTGCAGCACAAAGTGTATTGCTTTTCAGTGAGAGGGTTAAACAACGCTTAATAAAAGATATATATAAAAAAAAGAAGCAATCATCAACAAAAAGACATAATTGACATCTTGTTTTACTTCAAATCAGTTAAAAGAACGGTACAAGTAGTGTCAAAAGGCACAATAAAAACAGGATTTATAATACAGTGGAGCCACCCAATTGCCTGCCCTCACTGGGCGTTTTCGGGATGAGGGGGGTCATGCCTGCCTCTGCGCTCAGGTTGTACTTACAGTGTTAAAGCTACTGAGGCTGCTGGAATCGTCTACCACTTTGCAGGCAGCGAACGGGTCAGATTCCACTTGGTTGGGGAAGCTGAGATTGAACTGCTGGAAGTGATCTCCATGTTTGAACAAGTCCTCTGGCTTTGGGAGAGGCCGTTGGCCTGAAAAGGGAGTAAAAACACAAATTCTTAACATTGCAGCTTATGGAGATTCAAGTCCTAAACTAAAAAAATATCAACACCACCTGGCCAAATACCTGAGGTTAATAAGAGAAAATACGCTGCAAGGGAAAGCGTACAACTTGAAGCAAAATGCACAAATTCTCATACCTATAGGTGGCAGTGTTGCCTGAGCTTTGCAACAGAAATGTTGCATAAATTAAATAACGTTGCAGAAACCAAATCCATGCAGACTGTCTTCCATCAAGTCCTGCATAACTAACACCAAAACTAAAGGAGTTATAGAACAACTTTACTTTTAGTGAAGTTAGCCTTTAAAAGTACAAGCCAAAAGATCAGCCGAAATTCAGGCCATCTATGCTTAGATTAGAGATGCAAATATTTTCAAGTCAGTGATAAAAAGCCAACCCTAAAATCAATCAAGACTAAATATTTTAGTCTTAAATGGATAATGACAAGTTGATTCAAATGTTGGTTTGTCATACCTCTTTGGGACTCTGATGGAGAGACCTTAGTTATGCTCAATTGTAGAATTATAAAGGAAAATAAGTCATGCTCCCCTCTGATGGACAATCCATAATAAAAGATAAACATATAATTGGTGATAGTGACTCTTTTGCTATGGCCTTCTGGAGGAGGGCAGGTGTAGGAAATATTGAAGGAATATGTCACCAATGTACTCTATCCAAGAAATTAAACTGGCTAGCACCAGAGTTAACTCACTGGTCCCTAACAAAAGCTTTGCCGGAGGGGAGTTGCTCTTAAAGGAGAACTATGAGATGAGTGATTTCCACTCACCTCATAGTTCTAGCCGACCTGTGACAGTCACAGGTCGGCTCAGTAGATCGGGAGGTGAGCGAACACATACCGGGTTCGCTCACCTCTCGATCCTGTCACGGCTCTCTGCCGTGACAGGGGGAGGGGCTGGACTCCCCCCTCCCCGCTCTACCAGCGCTGACTGGCGGAACTGACGGGGGAGGGGGTGGGTACAGCTGGCTCTGCCTCTAGATAGGCAGAGCCAGCTGTCACTCACGCAGCTGGGCGGATCCCGACGTCCAGGTCGGGATCCGCTCCGGCTGCGGCGTCTCAGTATACCGCGAGCTGTAGCTCGCGGTATACTGAGCTTAGGGTAACGGGAGGACGCTAGTTTGTGTCCTCCCGTTACCCCAAGGAGAACTATGGGGAAAAACACTGACCCCATAGTTCTCCTTTAAGGTAGAAATAATTCACATATGTATGCCACAGCAAAGTCCATAAGGTTATGAGGAGTTAATGGATACTAAGTACAATAAAATATTAAAAAGTGGCACAGAGTGCCCACCTGCCTATGTGCCCATTAGAACAATGCTCATGTTTAGGGTGTGGGTGATGCACCTGGAGGAGGAGGACACGGCCGAGTGGGAGTTCCAGTCTTCGGAGGCAGTGCAGGAGGCGTCTCTGTCTGTAGAGATTCTGTTTCAAAAGTGCTTATGTTGTTTAGTGTCTCTTTTTCTTCGGGGGGCAAGGGGCCGTCCAGAGAGTCTGTGCCATTGTTCTGCTGGAAAAGAAAACAAAAAGTTCAAAACATGGTTAAAGTGCACCTGTAGTCTTGGAGGATATATATACACAGGGCTCGAAAATCCGCTCGTCTGTGACAAGCAGACAGTGGAGCCCGACGAGCAGCTTCCAGGCCGGCCGTTTTAATTACACGGCCGGCCGGGAAGGTTTCTAAAAAGCAGCCAGTTTATTGTGCCTATCAACTGACATTGTTTTCTCCTTACTACAGGTTCACTTCAAGTCTAATCATCACCTGAAAATATGAGAAGAGAAAGTATGCTAATATTTACTATAATTACTTTTCATAACTATATGGGATAAGGTGTGTGGACACATGAACATCGATCCTATATGAGCTTGTTGTACATCCCCATTCCAAAACTATGGGGACTCTCTTCTAACCCCTGTGGTGTTATAAAAGCCCACTCCTCCACTCTTCAGCGTTGCAATTCATCCAAAAGGTCATCAGTAGGGTTGAGGTCAGGGTTCTGTACAGGCCACTCCAGTTTTTCCACACCAAACTCAAGCACCCAAACTGTTGCCATATTGTTAGAAGTTACAATTGTCTTTATATGTTGTAGCTAGGGACACACAGATACCGCTCTTTCAGTAACCAGTACTGAGTTGTTTTTTTCTGGGTACTCGCAGATACAGAGTACCGATACCGGTGCCGTGTGCCCCGATTATCAGGAAGTCGGGCAGCGGATCATAACCTGCCGTCCGACCAGATTCCTGATTGGCTAGGAAGCCGGCTTCACTTGTTGCTAGGCAGTCTGGCTCCCTGACCAATGAGGAAGCAAGGAGGCGGGTTATGACGTGCCGCCCGCCTTCCTCATTAGTTAGGAAGCCAGGCTGCCTAGCATCAAGTAAAGCCGGCTTCCTAGCCAATCAGGAAGCCAGAAGGAGGAAGCCAGGAAGCAGGCTCCATGTCATAGGGAGATCTCCCTCTGAGAAGAATTTCCGGTTTCAGAGGTAAGTATGGGAGCGTTTGTGTGAATACTTGAGAACCTCCATCCCTCGGCCAGAACACTGAAAATGGGTTGTGGATAGGTCTTTCAGCATAACAATCACCCAAAACATACCGCCAAGGCAACAAAGCAGCGGCTCAAGAAGAAGCACATTAAGGTCATGGAGTGGCCTAGCCAGTCTCCAGACCTTAATCCTATAGAAAATTTATGGAAGGAGCTGAAACTTCGAGTTGCCAAGCGACAGCCAAGAAACCTTAAGGATTTAGAGAAGATCTGTAAAGAAGAGTGGACCAAAATCTCTCCTGAGATGTGTGCAAACCTGGTAACCAACTACAAGAAAGGTCTCACCTCTGATCTTGCCAGCAAGGGTTTATCCACCATGACTTATGTTTTGCTGTTTTGCTTGGGGATCAAATACTTATTTTACTCACTGAACTGCAACTCAATTTATAACATTTGTATCCTGTGTTTGTTCTGGATTTTTGGTTGATATTCTGTCTCTATCATTTAAAATACACCTATGATAAAAATTATAGCCCTTTCATTTCTTTGTAAGTGGGCAAACTTACAAAATCTGCAGGGGATCAAATCATTATTTTCCTCAATGTATGTACACCTTTTTATCACACACAGACACACACTTATCTGTTACAATACCTTAGAAAGTGTGCTGAAGTCAGCAAATCCACTGCCAAAGGAATCATTACCAAACAATGAAGTAAAAGGGTCATCATTTCCTAGAAAAGCAGACAGAGGATGTTGGATTACTGGAGGTTACTCTGGTATTTACAGTACAGCTGCATACTCATCAGATTTCAGATTCCATAAAACCAGCATTCGTGAGGTGCTGACAACATTTAATCCTGTAATGGTGGTAGAGAAACATGCACCCTTCACCTTATAAGCTGCCTATAATGTCTACCAAGCCAAACTACAGGAATATAAGAGAGACAATCAATGACAATGACCTTCAAAGATCCCTTACCAGACTGACTGGCCGCTGGAACAAAAGTTCCTCCAGGAGCAAATGGGTCATTGCTTTTCAAAGCCTCCACCTGTATAAAAAGAAGAAAAAGAACATGTAATGACAGTCACAGACAAAAAAAACACAATAAACACAAACATTTTTGACAGGAGATGCAATAACATGGAGGATTCCCTACCTCCTCCAGTCCTTTAGTTAACAACACAAGCCTCTATTCTACTCCAATCTAAATGGTTTACTGGGAGGCCAACCAGTGAGATAGGGGCCTAATTATTATAATTCAACATTTTCTAATTCACAATTTGAAAATTTGGCTCATGGGTCTATAGTGCGTCTCCACACGCTGCGCTCTGTAAAAATGCAACATGTCCCACTTTCTTTTTAACACACACCACTGGTGCATTGCAACTGCGTTGGGCAATGTTTCATTCCTTGATTCATGCCACTGTGGTTGTGGTAATATTAGGAAAGTGACCACCAACTGGTGTTCCTGGAAGCATATGCGACAAGCAGAGATCATAGGCTCATTCACAACGTTGTGCAAAACTGCCCAACGCAGTTGCAATGCACCAGTGGTGTGTGCTGAAAAAAAGTAGGACATGTTGCATTTTTACGGAGCACAGCGTGTGGAGAAGCACTATACAGCCTCAACAACCTGCCACGCATAGACCTGAATGAACTGTGAGGTTTAAATGTAGGTTACAAAAATGTAAAACAAATACTGAGATGCAATGCAACGCATCAGAGCAAGCATGCACAATACACACCCGCAGTGTGCGTTATACACACGGGTGTAAATGGGCCTTATAAGAAAATAAGCGCTCTTGTTTGGGAGTACATCTAGTACTGATACATCTAGTGCACTGTTCCTGCTAACCCTGATAAGTTGTTTATACTGTAGTTGTAATGCTTCCACTGCAATTTAAGAGCTGCATTGAGCATCTCAGCTCGAGAGTCTCTCTGAATAACTGAACGTTTGCATTTTGCCGTGGAAAATCGGGTATCTTTTTTGAGCTGCAAGCACCGTGGGGTTGATTAAATCACTTTTCAGGATTGCAAGTGTATGGGTCTGCTGTACCATTAGGGTGGGAAGGGGAAGCACTGTCTTTCAGGAAAGACATAGCATGGGGTGGGTACAAAGAGAAGGCAGGAGAGAGTGGCAAAGCGCAACCACAGTTGAGACAATCCAATAATGTTCCAAATACCAATTAATAAAAGAATAATCTAACTGCACAATGGAGGGGGTGTTATAAAACATCAAAGGCCCTCATAGATTTAATAACGCATGTGTAGGATATGACCCTCAATACACTGGGTGCTTGCAGTCAAAAGCACATTAAATTCAGTGTCACCTCATAGTTTAATTGAGAGCAACCCCTAGCTGCTGTAGTGGAGCTATACTGCTGAATTTCTGAAACAGAACTCCAGACAGGCAAACAATCAACAATTACAAGAAAACAAACCCTTGCAGTGTGTGCCCTACAGCACAGCAAGGGTTAACTGTGTCTTAAGTCTAGAGGTATAGGAATAAGCATGCTCCCCGGGCAGCTGGCGTTCTCCCCTTCTCTCTGACTCTCCGGGTTGGGGCCGGGCCTTTGCTGTCACCACATACAATGCAGGACTGCTAGTGTTCATAATGACATAAGAGTGCGACCAACAACCAGAGTGCCAAAGAGAAGAGGGGGACCAATCACACAGTGTGGAGGAAGCCCGGAGAAGCAAGGAAAAAAACAAGTATCACAGCTTTTTCCTCTACCCTCAACTTAAAAAGCAGCTTTAAGTACATAGTTGAAATGCTTTACTTGGTAAAATATCTGGAATTCTGTCCAGCACAATACATTTTACGGTTGTTCCTGGAGTCCCCCTTTAAACAAAACCCAGGGCAATGCTTCAATCCCATATTAGATACATACTGCACCACGTACTGAGGTGTTGCTAATTTCCAACGCTGCAACTGAGAAAGGATCCGCTTTTGATGACATGAAAGGATCCTCATTTGAAGACGTGAAAGGATCGCCTTTAGATGCTGAGAATGGATCTGCTTTAGAAGACAGAAAAGGATCGACTTTTTCTGCAATTGAGGAAGGGAAAGTATCTGCTTTTAAAGATGAGAAAGGATCTGCTGCAGACTGCTTGAAAAATACATCAGTGGCAAATGGGTCAGAATCTTTAAAAGGATCTCCGCCGAATGGATCTGTAAATAAAGTGGTGACAAGTTAGTGTGGCGATCTTGCTAGTTATGCAATAATGGAAGACAGAGGAAGCTTCCCATAGACAGTAATAACTTTATACTATATATGTAACAGCTGTCAGGCTAAATAATAGAGCACAAAACAGCTAAGTTAAAGCTGAACTCAAGGCAAACAGCTAAATACAGCGACGGAATACAGAGAGCTGTTTTACCTGACAAATTATTTGTAATTCTGTCCATCCAGTTCTATGATTTACACAGCCCTATCCTACAACACAGCCAGGCAGATGACACCCCTTTCTCTGGTACTGTAAGAGTGTAGAAGGCATCTACTGCTGCTCTTTCACTGTCCTTCCTATCTCCACCCCAGACTGCTGGTTGGACAGTGAAAGAGCAGCAGTAGACTGGTGAGGTCACCCCTCTGCTTTCTCCTATTATCAGTATGTTCTTCGTCAGCCCCAGGCCCTGGCCTCCCTCTCTCACTCTGAGTGATGCTGAACAGGGTATCAAATTCAGGTACCTACACTAATTGCATAAAAAAAAAATAAAAAAATACACGTAAGGCCCCTTGTCCTGTGCTAAAACACATTTGTTAACACGTGTTGCCACAATGCATGGCAACACACCTGCTGTAGGTGCAGTGCCATTTTTGGTGACTGGCATCCCAATGCATTGTAGAGTAGAGCACAACAAAACATATTCCATGCATTGTGGTGGGATGTGTTTGGGGCAAATGGGTCAAGCATCTTTTTTCTGTTGTGGTGTTTTGCAACCACGTTAGTGCGTGCCCCAATGTGTGTTAATGCATGCACATTAATGTACTGCAAAGCTTTAGTGTATTTGGGCCCTAAATTAATTGCTACTGAATAAACAGGTGCATTCATTTGTCTTTGATATCCTTCTAAAGCTTTATTTTTCACATTACACAACTTTAAGTGCAAATATTCACTATTTGCTGCATTTAGACAGAGACGTTAAAGGAGAACTATGGGGTCAGTGTTTTCCCCCATAGTTCTCCTTAGGGTAACGGGAGGACACAAACCAGCTTCCTCCTGTTACCCTAAGCTCAGTATACCGCGAGCTACAGGTATACTGAGACGCCGCAGCCGGAGCAGATCCCGACGTAGATGACGGGATCCGCCCAGCTGCGTGAGTGACAGCTGGCTCTGCCTATCTAGAGGCAGAGCCAGCTGTAACCGCCCCCCTCCCCCGTCCGTTCCGCCAGTCAGCGCTGGCAGATCGGAGAGGGGAATCCAGCCCTCCCCTGTCACGGCAGAGAGCCGTGACAAGATCGAGAGGTGAGCGAACCTGGTATGTGTTCGCTCACCTCCCGATCTACTGAGCCGACCTGTGACAGTCTCATTGTCACAGGTCAGCTAGAACTATGAGGTGAGTGGAAATCACTCATCTCATAGTTCTAGTTTAAGTGGATTTGATAAATATTGGATGTATTTTTATTGTTATCCTCTAGGGGGTGTTGCTCCATTTAAAAAAATTTTGATCTTTGTTCTTGAGATGTGAATCTATTCCATGGTGTACAAAAACAGACTGCATATCATCACACAACTTACCTATTTTACCAAAAGGGTCATCTTTAAATGGATCACCTTGAAAGGAAAAGCAAAAAGGGTATGAATCACAAAAAAAGAAAAAAAAAAATCAACATAAAAATACATAAATGACTATTACCTATATATACATTAAGTAAACAGTAAGATTATACAGATTATACTGAGGGCACTGCTGAGAGCTCACGTTATAACTACACTATAGTGTTATCCCAAGTTAGCCTCCAAAAATGGTACACTTCCCAAGCTCATTACTTCAAGGAGGAGGTGCACACTTGCCGCGGCACACTTTCCAGTCCTTCCCTCAGTTGTTCTCTCTGCATGGACGGAAAAAATCTCATCACCTCCCACGGCCTGCACAACAGGGATCTCACAGGAGTGTTGAGCATAAACATTTGGGGGGTGCTGGGAGGAGGTAACTTAAAGGATAATTATACAAAACTAGAAGTACCCTTTAAAGTTCTCCATGCATATTCCAGCTTACAGGATGCACTGAAAGGAACAAGGTCCCACAGAGTCACGGCTTCAAGATGCTATAAAAAAAAATGCTGAACACTATTCCATGGGAGCTTGTTCTAGCCAGCTCAGTAGATAGCATCAAAAAAGGGCTGATTGCATTTCTAAATGCTCTATAAACTTTTCAAGCATTTCACTGAATCAACTAAAGGGTTACGGCTCAGAGGATACAAAGTGTTTTTATTTCATTTCAAGGCTGTATGGAGAAAATCACCAGCACTCACAAAATCCAAAGAATCCCGCCATAATTCAAGAATGATAAATAAACCAGCATTACAAAGAACACAAACGTCATGTGAAAGATCAGTGCCATATAAAATGATACTGTAAAATGATTGTGAATTATGGCGGGATTCTGATGTCATGATGACATCATGGGAGGGGGTTTGGTGCGCACACATCATAATTATACATCCGCACTTGGGTTATTGCATTGTTACTATGTCGCCATGAGGAATGGACCCTGCTCGGCCCCAAAACGGTGGTCCATATACACCGTACGAAGCGCAGGTGATACATTTTAAAGATACATTTATTTTATTTCAGTCAGTGGTTGAACTGATGGACGTGTCTTCTTAGCTTCAGTATTTACTTATCCGAACGGAGGTTCGGAAGTTTTAAAGCTGAACTCCATCCTTCGCTTCAGTATTGCAGGCTCCTCTTTACTGAATATCTTATTGCACACTGCGAGCTTCTCCGCGAGCTGCAAGTCAGATAAAGCCTGCCTCATTTCCTGGCTGGAGCACCTCCAGCATCCTCTAGTCCGCCCCTGTCACTCACTGGATTTTAGTTCTTTCAATTATGGAGGCTCAGGACCACAAGCAGATGCTACGTAGGGAGCTCTGCATGCAAATGTAGCCTATCTAGGAATGCCCACTCCTCCAGACTGACATCAATCCATCAAGGGAATTTGATATTTGCATAACTGCTCCCAAGAGCAAAAGTGGACGTTGCATTTTAATTTCAAGCAACACTTCAAAACACCAATTTTCTAAAGCAGATGATGCTGAATTTATTGCACAGAATTGGCTACATATTAGTGTAGGACAACCTTGCTTCCCTCTCCTGGTGTCAAAGAAATGCAAATGCATGGCCTGAGAAAATTAACAAGGTTGGACGCCAGTTGCATTTGCAATAAACCTCTCCCTTCCGCTCCCATAATTATTAGAAACATTTCTATGGGTATGCAGTACTATGCTGGACCTCTGTAGACCGCTACGAGTATTGCTTACTATTCGGTATAAAGCACTTCGCAAGAGGAAGACCTGCCGGGGATTTGTTTTTATGGAAAGGCCATGTGGTGCCAGACAGGACCATACAGGGAATATCATTGAATCAAGGTGTTTATACAGGGGGAGGATCATCAGGTTTATACACAAAACTTACTGCCCACAAAAGGATCATTCTGGAAGAAATCCAGTCCTGACTCTGGTACAGACTGTGCTGGGGGTGCACTTTGTTTTGTGTCAAAAGCATCAACTTGGAACGTGACCTCCTGCAGCCAAAGAAATAACAAATTAAATAACAGTTCACACACTGTGTTCATTATTAAAACTTTCCATATCATCTAAAAAGCTCCCGACATGCCGACTGCACAGCTGCCTTTTTATAAAAGCATTGGTTGTGTATCATAACCCAGAGAAGAGGAGAGAAGGATAAAATATAGAGGAGGGAAGTGATGGTAAGGGAATGGGAGGTGGAAAGGGGAGAAAAGGGAAGTGAAAAGGGGAAATTAGGAGAAGAGAGTAGGGAAGGGAACAGCAAAGAAGAGGAGGGAAGGAAAAATAAAGGAAGGTAAGTGGAGAGGAGAAGTGAGGAAGGATAGGAGGAGGAGTCGAAAGGAGGAGGAGGGCAGAGAAGAGGAGCGGAAAAAAGAGCAGGGAAAAGCAGAAGAGTGGGGAATGGAAGAGAAGACGAAAGGAGGGAAGGAAAGAAGACACAAGGAGAGAAGAGGAGAGGGAAAAAGCAGTGGTGAAGACAGGAGGGGAAGAGGAGAGCTGCAGAGAAGAGGGGAGGCTACAGGGGAGGGAAGGGAAGATGAGTGGAGAAATGGTGTGGGAAGGGAAGAGGAGTGAAGAAGACAGGACTGAAGAAGACAGGAGTGAAGGGAAGGTAGAGGAGAAAACAGGGGGAAAAGAAGTGGAGAAGAGAGGGGGGAGAGGAAAAGGAGAGAAGAGAGCAAAGAGAGGAGAGGAGAAGAGAAGAGAGGAGAGGAGAAGAGAGGAGAGGAGAAGAGAAGAGAGGAGAGGAGGGAAGAGGAGAGGAGTGAGAAGAAACATGGATTTGCAGGTGCATTATTACCTTGTCAGTAATAACAGGCACATTAACATGTTCATCTTTGTCCTCTGCATCACTCCCTGAGGTATGTACAATTTCAGGACTGCTCCTTACCTAGAAAAAAGGAAAAAAACAGTTAGAAATTTTTTGTACAAAAGTTATTCATAGTTTACCTGCTGATTTATTTAGGAAATTTAAAAACTGTCAATTCCAAGGGAACAATGTACTATATTAGATGCACATAGAATAAACAAGCCCTGTAAATAACTGCAAAAAGAGGACAGCCAGCACACTTTCCATGTACCGGTGAAGTGCTTCCCAGATGCTAAAAATGAAATGCTGTGTAAAGCTAAATGGCAAATGATGTGCGGTGTCCCGTTCAAAAGAGAATGATACCTGCTCAGCCTCACACATACTGATGCAGCGGTACCAGTAAACGCTGTTGAACCTTGAAGCTCGGTGCAAGAAATCTGAACTCGCTGAAAGTGTGTTTAAGCCCTCATAACATACCAGTAGCTTGCCTTACATTACATTCCATGGATGTATTGAGCAGATATACTTACCGATGAGCTTTGGTTCTGATCTTCTGCGTGAGCCAGGGTCTCATACTCTTGGTTCTCATGAAGATTGGCAGGCTCACTGCTACTATTACTTAGGCTTGAGTGATCACCAATACCATTAACCATGACCAGATCTAAATGAGGACGCCAGCCGAGCTGAATTTGATCATTTATATTATTCTCCGCAGGCTTAAAATCTTGTAGTTTCACCTATTAAAAAACAAAACATTTATAAATAAAACAATTCTGTTACAAAAAAAGGCAGCAGTTAAAAACATAACTTCACACTGACAGCTAAATTGACAACTTGAATACAGGAGCTTGTCATACCTGCTAAGGGCTTTGACTTTTATCCAGCTAGTCCTGAGATTTACACAGCTGGTGACCTCACTTTTCTCTACTGCATTTTAGAAATACAGTCTGATCACCTCCTTGCTCTTTAATTGTAATTGGATGATAAAAGAGCAGATTGATGCAGTCATTCCTCTCGGCTTTTGTAGGTATTTTTCTTGTCAGTGCATGTAGCAGAGCCTCATTAGCTGAGAGTACTGAACCTTCCTGTCCCTGTCTAAATGCACTGAACACAGGATTACAGGAGGCTTATAAAGACAAATTTTAGTTGCGTACAAAAATACGCTTTTTGTGCTCACTGTAAAATCTGTTTCTTAAAGTCCACTCTGGGCCATAGAATTGTATTAAGTCTTCAACATGTGGAATATACTGCTGCCTGGAGACAGTTTGGACACTGGCAAAACAAAAAATGTTATACCAGCCCACATATAATTATGTCTTCAACCATCACGTCTCACTTTTGTGAGCAAGCAGATAACACAGATGGGCAGGACCTGCGGTCCCTTACCGGATTTCAAGAAACAGACTGTGATAAAAATTATATTTTTAGTTACCGCTCCCAGCACTGACTGGAGGAACGGACTGGAGGAACAATCCTCCAGCACTGGCTGGAGGAACGGACGTGAGAGTGGGTGGGCTCAGCCTCTAGAGAGTCAGAGCCAGCTGTCAATCAGGCCTATGGGTGGATGGTATCCCAACAATACTTTTGGGATCCAGCTGCAGCGCGGTTCTGTGCTGTCAGCATATAGTGGGCAGTAGCCCGCTATATGATGAGTTTTGGGTCACAGGGGGACATTAGTAGATGTCCTCATGTGCCCCGTAAGAGAACTATGGCAGAAAAAAAGGTTGGGCCATAGTTCTCTTTTAATGAAAGTCAAATAACTTACCAAATGCAGCTCCTCCTGACATTCTAGCAGCTGTTTCTCCAGTGGTGTGAGCCGCTCCTTTCCCCGTGCCAGGCTTTCCTCCAGCTGCACAGTCTCCTCCTGCAGTTGGATCAGCTCCTCCTTAGCTTTGCTGACTTCCTCCTCATAGTTGAAGATCTGTCGTTCCTGGCTTGACACTTCATTTTGTAGAGCAGAGACCTGAGCAAACAGAAGGGGATGCAAGAATAAGAATATGCTGACTAAACTACAAAATATACAGCCTGGGGTAAGTATCCAAGGGGTTCAGAAATGACAGGGCAAGGATGCATGGGGCTCCACAGGGGTACAGAGTGTAGCTTGAAGAGTAAGTACTCCAAGTGTTTGCAGGCATCAAAAGGTGCCTCTCTCTTTGCACTTTATTTGCCTTAGGCACATTTTAAGACCGGTCAGATTCACTTCATAGAGCCTCTGTAACAAATGGCAGAACTAAGCAATATTTAAAGTATTTTTCACCAGGCCCCCAAAAAAGGTCAACAGAGGGATTTATCCAAAATATCCATACCTGTCTTGCCTCCTCCTCACATTTCAGCCTCAGCTCCTGTAACTCTTTCTCCAGTTTTGCTTTTTGTTCATCTAGACCTGCCAGTACCTCCTCCACTTCCAGCTTCTGGGCTTGGAGCTTCTTCAGGTTAGCGCTCTCTTTCTCCACCTCATCCTGAAGGTCCTGGAGAACAGAAGAAACCAATCAAAGATTAACTTGGTACAAGTGGGAAATAAAGAACTGTTAACAACTAATATTTTGGTGTCTGTGGACTCTGCTGCTGAGGTGTTCCCTCGCTCTTCTCCTCCCCCAACATGTGAGCCAGGGATATACACACTTCAAATTATTTAAAAAGTGTACCTATTCTCAAATGTTATTTTAAAGCTATGTTAAAGGATTACTGTGATTTTAGTATCCATATCAACAGTCTTATACTTACATGTCCCCACTCCACCGAGCTTTTTGCTGTGTGGCCCACTAGGAGCCACCAAAAGTCTCCTGGTAGGAGTCTGTTGCTTTTGGACAGATGCGGTGTAATCTCCACCCACCGTATTTTTTTTTCATAGGAATATTTTTGTAGCACACAAGCATGCACGGAAGAAGCAGAGCCTGGCTAGGAGACTTTCAGTGAAGAGACTGTGTACACCACACAGCAAAGATCTCGGAGGAGCAGGAACAGGCAATGTAAGATTTTGGTGGGGCGCATTTAAAGGTTACCTGTACTAACCTTGTATCCTTTAACAGCCTTGAAATGGAAATGAAAAGAGTAATAGAAGGGTTGAACTAATTCTCTTTACTAGAGAAAATGATATTGATCTATGAGTGCTACCTTCAAAAGCCACCCAAATTAGGGGGTAAAATATTATGGAGAGTCCCATCCAATCACAGATATCAGAAGAGGAATAATGGTCACAGTGAGCACTCTGTAAAATGTATGTATGGAAAATGTAACATACACACTGAAAAAAAAAACCTCAAAATGTTCACTATTTGAAAACTAAGCAAAGAAAAAAATATGGATGTTATCTATGTTAAAGAGATTCACTTTCCAATCTTCAAGTGAAAATTCCATCTGAAATTTGTTTAAGAAAACAGCTTCACTTACTTTTGAACTACTTGGTTAAAAACCCGCCTTTCATGGCAGTTAGTGCCAAAGTGTTTGACAGATATAAATGGATATGTGCGGTAATGTTACAGCCAAGATAGATTTCTGCCTTTTTAAACCTGTGATTTTATACACCTGCTATACAACATTATTTGAATTTTCCTTGCTAAAAAGGAATGCTGGTACTTTTACTATGGAATCTACTTCTTAACCAATAAAAGCATGGCCATCTGACATAGATTCTGTGAAGCCTGCCACTGTGAAGTGCCAGGATACTACCGTACTTTGCTGTTCTGACCCTGAAGAAGTGAGACAACATTACTGGAAGAAAGGACCAAAAAGTCAGTACTTTAATGTGTACTTTAAAAAATACTTGTAGGCAGTCACAAATTTATTTTATCAGAGCAACTAAAACACCTAGAATACATCCCGCTGTAAATGGACAAACCTAGCTCATTTGTATGATGGAATGATCAAATTTTGGAAAATGAGGCCAGGTGCACACTTGGGTGATCCCGGGCCACCCGTTTGTGTGCGGTTGCACACAGCGGTTGCTGTGCGGCCCCGTTGCTTTCAATGCGGTTATATCTGCGCGGCAATCGCTGAAAAAAAGGCACATGTGCCTTTTTTCGCAACACACACGGCACGGTTTTTTCAGCTGCAATTGTGTGCAACTGCACAGGTGGAATCATGGCGCAAAACCGCGCGATCTGCCCAATGCCACTGGGGTCGCCCAAGTGTGAACCTGGCCAGAACTGTTCGTGCACTAGAATGTGGGGTAGACACAAAGTTTCTTAAAAGATGACACCTGGGGACCACAAAAGGTTTACTGTGTGGACACTTTTGGAGTTTAAGCCCGAGAAGTGCGATCTTTTGATTAAGAGATCAGCACCATGGCTTTCAGCATTGGGGCCCTGCATTTGATTATTCCTGGCATAATGCCTACATAGAGTTTGAATTTTTGTTTGGTATAGGCACGGTCTTTCTCTGGGTTTCAAACCACAATTTGGCATCACACAGTTGTTTAGTAAAAATGGCCTAGGGGGTAGCACTGGGGTGAAATCCAGTCTCGGGCGCATCTGCCCAGGATATCCTTATATCCTATTTTTTCCTTATATTGTAAAGCACTGCACAAACTGTTGGCGCTATATAAATCCTGAATAATAATAAAACAAATATCCTGACCTTATATAAATGAATAAAATAAAAACAAATGCAAACAAAACAAAGTCTTGTAAATGCTAGAATTCTGCATTTTAATCCACTTATTAATTAATAATGTATTTCCTTTTCAAATCAGCCTTCTGCTGTCTTTAAATTAAATATATAATGAATAATCAGATGAAGGAAATTGTGTTCTTGCAGAAAATATTTTTTAAAAGGACTATATTGCATTAAGTTAGCACAGTGCTATTGCAGAAAGGAAATCGTGAGAGAACACTGTTAACTTCTCAACTATCTTCTGGGTCACGATCCTAATGCTGGAGAGTATGTCAGTTCACGAATATTAGCCCTATACACAATGCTTTGGACACTGTGTAAGGACTTGTACCATTTATTCAGGTCAGAACTGCTCTTCTCCCCATACAAGATAAGAGGAATGCAAAAGCGACTTGATGCAGCTTAGGGAAGGGGGTCAGAAGGACTTCTGAAGGAACACCGAAGGACCTCGGGAGAAACTCAAATGCAAACAGAATGTACCAAAGAGAATAATGCATCTCTACAACTATACAAGCCGTAGTAATTTTTAAAGCACAACACAAGGCTGCTGTTACTGGACACTGTCCAGGCTCCTATCCAAGACTGAAGGTTGGCACTTACCAGCTTCTGAAGCAGTGCTGGTTCAGATGCCAAGCCCCCTCTGCAGCACAATTACTGAGTTGGGAAACAGCTTTCTCCAGCAGCGGATGGCAGCCTTGTCTGCACTAGTTATCCTAACATGTTCTCTTTAAACTTTTAAATGTAATATTCCAAAGAGAAGGGACACAAGGTGCCTATTACCTTTACTGGCCAAAAAGTGCTCTTTTTACTTTCTTCTTAAGAGCTAGACTTCTCCCTGTTCCCCTGTCCAATGAGAGAATCCCTACCGGGTTCTGAGAAACTCTCACTGGACAAGGTACCTACTATTAAAAGAGAAGTACAGACAAACTTATTTTACTAATGTGCGCTGTGACCCACAGGGCTAATGCTTGCTACGCTGACAGTACATAGCAACACCATAGCTGGTGATCTTGACAATATTGTCGGGATCCAACTAGCTGCCTGATTGACATCTGATTCTGCCTCTCTAGAGGCGGAGCCAACTGTGCCCACCCCTCCCATGCCTGTTCCTCCAGTGAGAAAGAAGGAGGAATCCCTGTGTGAATCGGTAGCTGACAGTCCACAGGGAGGAGACCTTGAACTGAGCGAACAGTGGTCACATGATTGTTCAGCTCTCCGTATATACAGTAGAGCCGGTGTGGCAACTGCAGTCACATGCCGACTCTAAGTATTGGGAAGAGTATATATTTTTTTCTTCTAATTAGGGATGCACAGATACCAATTTTTTTCCCTCGGTACTCGCCGATACCAAATACCGACAGTCCCGTTAAGGAAGCCAGGCGTTGTGTAATGACTCGCCACCTGGCTTCCTGATTAGCAGGGAAGCTGCTTCCATGCTTTCTAGTCACCAGGTGACGAGGAAGCATGGAGTCGCCTTTCTGGCCGCACAGGAAGCCAGGGGCGGGTAATGACTCGCCGCCCACCTTCCTGATTGGCCGGGAAGCTGGCTCCCTATTTCTTCGTCACCTGGTGACGAGGCAGCATGAAGCCAGCTTTCTGGCCAATCAGGAAGCCGGAGGGCGGGTAATGACTCGCTGTCCGGCTTCCTGAAACTGGCCAATCTTGAAGCAGGACGGCGAGTCATCACACCAAGTGACGAGGGAGCATGGAGCCAGCTTCCCGGCCAATCAGGAAGTCGGGCAGCATGTAATGACTTGCTGCCTGGCTTCCTGATACCGTAAGTTCGGGTATCAGGCTAGACATTGAAGCATTTGGGCGGGTATGAGTACTCGCCCAAATACTTGGTATCGGCACCGATACTAGTGTCAGTATATCCCTACTTCCAATACTTCTCCTTTCAGGCAAAAAAAAAAATAGTAAAGCACACAGCAGAAGCTTTTCTAAAAAAAGGTAAAGCAAAGAACAAAGACCTTGTGATGTCTGCTCTCAGGCAGGCCTTTCACCTGAAAAAGTAAAAAAACAAAACAAAACCCAAAACATGGGAACAGCCATTTTTGACTGGTTTTTAAAAATGCATGCACCAGGGCTGCCATCCTCATCTTTCCTTCAATAATGAGTCACTGACCTGGAACAAGCATGTGGTTATCAGGTACTCAGACACCTGACATACACACGCTTGTTCCAAGTCAAATAAGTGAATGAAGAATACAGATAACAACCCTGGAGCACACATCCTAAAAAAACAAGTCAGCAATGTCTGCTCCGACTCTGGTCTCTGTCACGCATCTCCAGACTGACACCAAAAAAATTGTTATCAGCTGTTAAAGGAAAAAGAAATAAAAAAGTGCTCTAAGAGCGTGGTATTACCCAGTGAACCAAGTCAGGTCCCCTGTTTATATCCACTACACAAAAAGAAAAAAAAAAGCTGCAAGATTTTGCAATGAGAATCCATTTTATATTTCCGAGGCACTATGCTCAGCTCCTACAAATAAAACAATGGCTTTTGGCCTGGTAAGGCAGCACCCCACAGATGGTATCTGTAAAGATATATGTGCAGCAAACCAGCCCAAGACATTTCATCTCATCCAGACATTCCAGGATAAATCATGACATCTCAGGCAGCTCAAGGCATAGCTCTGTGTAATTTAGCACTGCAGCATATATTCATAACAAGCAGCATAATGAATATTCATCTGCCATAGCCAAAAGCTCTGTGACTACAGAAAATATCTGGGACAATAACATACTACAAGTGGCAAATGATTTATTGTGCACCTGCATATAATTCTGAGATGTACAATGAGATTAAACTAGGGGTTAGAGACATATGAATTATAGAAGCTGGAGCTTTAGAGGA